ACCAGCTATAGAATTCTGCATTGACAGTTTTTGTTTTTTCCCCCCACTCCATTATAATTGTTTTTCATCAGAAGTCGGTTCTAATGTTTATCCTGTTGCTCTGGAGGTAATGTGACATTTTTCTGCCTTCAAGATTTTCTCTTTACTTTTGGTTGTCAGCAATTTGAATATATGTTTAGGTGTTTTTGCGTGTTTCTTTGTGTTGTTTTTATGTTTATCCTGCTTGGTGACTTGTGAGCTTCTTGGATGTGTGATTTTGTGTCTGTCATTAATTTCAGAAAATGCTTGTTCTTGGATGCTGTTTCCTTAAATAGTTCTTTTACTCCATTGTATGTCTCTTCTCCCCAAATACTAACGATGAATGTTTTAGAATATTTGATATTGTCCCACAGCTCTTTAGTGTACTTTATTTCTCTTTGTATTTCAGTTTAGATCACTCCTGTCAGCCTATCTTTACATTCACTATTTCTTCAGCTGTATTATATTCATTGATGTCTTACCATGCTGAAAGCATTATTCAGCTGTGTTACTGTGATTTTCATTTCTGGCATTCTACTGGATTCTCACTGAAATTAACTATCTGTTCTTGCTTGTCATATATTTTCGATTAGAACCTTTAACATATTAATCATAGTTATTTTAAATTGATTGTTTGATAGTTTCAACTCTGTGTCATATCTGATTCTGGTTCTGATACTTTCTTTGTCTCCTCCAGTATGTTTTTGTACTTTTTCATATGCTTCCTATTTTTGTTGTTGCTCTTGTTCTTGTTGTTCTTGTTGGTGGTGGTGGTGGTAGTGGTGGTGTGTGTGTGTGTGTGTGTGCGTGTGTGTGTGCTTGCATATGAGCATGTCTTTCTTTGGGCTGGACTTTTAGAATAGGGATTTGGTTTAATATAATCAGGAGTTGGGTTGGGCTTAACCTTTGTTGTGCTATGGTTACCATAGTGCACCAGAGACTTCAGATGCCCCTGGCAATGCCCTGTGTTTAGAGAATGGGCTAATATATTTTTGCGTTTTTCCCACTGTATATACTCTACGTGGTGTGAGATCTAGCTTCGTGTGGTTCTTCGCTTTATGTGGCTCCCCAGAGAAAATCTGTTTGTTGTCACTCAACCAGATACAGTTCACTGTTACTTTTACTCAGTGTTTGTTAGCATGGTGGTGTGGAATGGAGAAATGGGTGATCTCCGATGTTCTGGTGTAGCCTTAGTCTCAGGTAGGCACAGTGAAGCTGGGTGACAGGGGTATCACCTTAATAAGTGTTCCTTTTATGCTTCAGCTATAATGATGGATCCAGCCTATTTTCCTGTCTTTCTCTAAGAATAGAGATTTACTTTTGCTGTTCCATTCTTCCATCTGGGTCTCTACGGGTGCCCAACTCAGCAGTATGTGTTGCTCTTTTTCTGAAGATTAAGGATGCTGTTACCCTTCCCTACCCAGCATGGTGAGTGAGACTATCTCAGGATTCTCTGAATCACCCCTGTACCTGATGGGATTCATGGAGGAAAAGCCTGTAAGAGGTTGTCTACACCCCTACATCTCCATTCACTTCCCCTTCCCGGGGGCGTCCACTTTTTATGCTAGCTCAGATGTGGTATTTATTAATTCATTAAACTGTTTGAGTTAAATCTTGCCAGGTCATCTGGCACCTGGTGGTGTCTGCACACATCTGTTTCTCCCTAGAATGTGGGCTGGTTGTTTGACCTGTGCCCTCAGCTCTCTGAGGGTGTTAGTTCAAGAAATGTCATTAATTTTTTATTTGTCCAGCTGTTATCTTATTGTGAGGGTGATATTTTTTCAGCTCTGCACATCTCTTGAGCTGAAACTGGAGTTCCTTTCCTCCCATCTAAACATATAGCATGCAGCACTTTCTCAGCGATCTGCCAGAACTACTGCTGTCCTCTTTTTCCTGGAGAGCAGGCCTCTGTGAACTGGCTGGGGAGGCCCTCTCCAGTTTTGAAAATCACATCTGCACATATCTGGGTTTGCCAGAAACTTCAAGTTGCTCAGCAGTCTCCTGAGCACTATAGTCTTCTCATTTTGGAAAAACTTGGGAAAATAAGAATGAAGATTGAGTTGTGCTTTAACCAGAGCTTATGTATTCCGACAGGAGGATGCTGGCTGGAAGAATCATTATGGAAGGAATGGGACCAATGCAGAAACCACACTGGGCCACTGGGATGGTCAAGGTGAGGCCGGAGCGATTGTTATTGCCCTGGTGCCGGAGCACAGAGACCCAGTTCCTTGGAGAAGTACTTGGGATAGCGCTTTGAGAGAGGAAGTAAAAGCTTCCTCTTTTCAGAAAGCTGTGTCATAAACTCCGTCAGTAAAGTTGTTTGTAAGAAATGGTAGAACAAATATTATTTAAGCAACAGTGTGGAAAGAGTAGGACTCTGTACAGCCAAAGAATTTAATTTCACTTGAGGGAAATGAATTTGTCCAGTTGCTGAAGAATGTTAAATACGCCAGCTCAGGGAAGGGACCTGAGACTGTTTGGCACATACCCTCACCGAGGGAATGATGGAAAGTGCCTTCCCATAGAACTAGGGGGGTAGGAAAAGGGGGCTCAGAGGAGAACATTTTGGGATTCGTTTGCAGTGGTTGCAGTAACAAAGTACCTCAGGCAGGAGGATTAAACAACTAAAATGAGTTGTCTCACAATTTGAATCTAGAAGTATGCATGCCATTGAGGGGTCAGCAAGACGTTCCTTCTGAGGTTTGTGAGGAAAGGATCTGTCCCTTGGCTTGAAGATGGTCATCTTCTCCCTGTGTCTTCACATTGTCTTCCCTTGATGCCTGTCTCAGTGTCCAGATTTCCTCCTTTTATAAGGGCACCGGTCAAATGAGTAGAGGCTATTCTACTCCAGTATGAGGTCATGTTGACTAACTAACTGCATCTGCAAAGATCCCATTTCCAAATGTGATCACATAAACTTAGATGCTGGGATTAAGACCTCAGCATTTGAATTTTTAAGAAGCACATTTCAAACCTTAACACTTCTCATTTTAGACACAGGCTATTGAGACTCAGAAGGAAATTGAGGATGGAGGAAAGCATTCAACTCAGATATTTATTAAGAATCAACCATGTTGCCCTAACCAGTTTGGCTCAGTGGATAGAGCATTGGCCTGCAGACTTAAGGGTCCCAGGTTCGATTCCGGTCAAGGGCATGTACCTTGGTTGCGGGCACATCCCCAGTAGGGAGTGTGCAGGAAGCAGCTGATCAATGTTTCTTTCTCATCGATGTTTCTAACTCTCTATCCCTCTCCCTTCCTCTCTGTGAAAAATCAATAAAATATATATTTTTTAAAAAAAGAATCAACCATGTGGTGCCATCTGGGGCTAGCACCATGATTACATCTGATGTGATTCCTGTTCTCTGGCTCATGTTCTAGTGAGGAGATAGTGACAATTCACAAAAGACAAGGGCAGTTCCAGGGGGTGGGGGTGGAGGGAGCGGGAGACAGTTATTTTCAAAACCTAAAGAATGTTAAATACGCCAGCTCAGGGAAGGGACCTGAGACTGTTTGGCAGTCCTCTAAAGAGAGGGATGCCATACAACTAGAGGTTACCTGTGTGTATGCTAGGGCAGGGGGCAGTTGGGGGAGGACTCCTCTAGGTAGGGAGGCCAGGGAGAATTTGGTGAAAAGTGATATTTCAGCTGAGACCGGAATCAAAATGATATAGCAGAAGAGTGGGAGCATCTCGTATAAAGGCCCTAAGGTGGGAATATGCTTGGTGTGTCTATGAAAAACTAAGCAGAGAAGGCTTGTGGCCATGGACACAGGGAGGCTGATTGAGATGAGGCTGGGGA